GGGTTTTTTTTTTTGTTTTTTTTTTTATGTGCAATGCCTCTGTGTAGACATTACGTCTAACTGAGAGGAGGGCACACGCTGCTTTGTGTCTGGTTGTTTGTTTGTTTTGCGCCCCACTCATGATACAGTGGGAAGTCCTCCCTTCCCCTCCCCAGCGTCGCTTGTCACTGTCTCATCTCACATGCATTCCACAGCTGCTTGCCCACACGGCCTCCCTGCCTCACAGCCAGAGGGTTCCTCCTCTGTCCAGAGATGAGCCCAGTGGCCACCCTCCAGTCCCCGGCAGCCACAGGCCGTGCTGTGCCCCCTCTGAAGAGGGGGAAACTGTGAACTCGCCCCAGGGTGCGGAGGAGGCTGGGAATGAATCAGAGGCCCTTCGCCGTGGCTGGGGCAGGCGGGTCTGGCTGTGCCCATTTCCCCGTGCAGAAGAGGCGGCTGGCTGAGGAAGAGGCGGCTGGCTGTGGACCACCTGCTCTGGTCCTGCCCAACTTCTGAGTGGAGGGACCATGTGCCCTCTGAGGAGCTGTCTGGACCGAGGGGCTCTCTGCTGCACAAATCCCCTTCATCGCACTGAGGGGCCCTAAGGGCTCTGTGAGGTTACGTCAAGACTCCAGGGTTCACGGAAGAAAAAGATGAAAAAGGAAGCTGGAAAGGACCACCCCAGCCCCCATGGGCAGAGCTCCAGCTCAGCGCAGGGGCTTGGCTCTCGGCTACCTCATTCCTAGCTCCCACTGGCTTGGCCGTGACCGCTAGCTACCATGTGTCCCGTTCTCCGGTTTTGTGCACAGGGCATGCACTGCCTCCTACTATCGCCAGCACAACCTGGTGGAGATGCCCCCACAGTGGGGCCTCAAAACTGGAAATACAGGAGAAAGGAGTTTTCCTACAAACTTTTGGAAGCGTCCTCACATTGTTCCCATTGTATCAATGAGAAACTTGAAGCACAGAACAGTTAACCTCGCCTGGGGACTCCAGAGTGATACCAGAACTTGAACCCAGGCCTTTGGACGGCAGGGCTCCGTGTTCAGCGCTACGCTCACCGAGCGCTGCGGTCAGTGTCTCGGCCAACCTTCCTACAATACTGCTCTAGGCTATCGCGAGCTCAGGGCACCGACACACACACACACACACAGGTCTGAACTTTTAAAGAGGCCCAGGAGACGGTGGCCCTTCCAGTCCCTGGGCCTACCTACCCCGAGAGCCCCAGCCTGGCTCTGGTGATATTTCATGGGGATTTGATTCAACAGGACACTCCTGCATGAAACAAGGACTCTATTTTAAGTTTCTCTGTGTGACCCCAAAGGAGACCTGGTGCCGTATAGGGGTTATGTGTTGGGCTGCTATCCGCAGGCCAGCCGTGCGAAGTCACCAGCTGCTCCATGGGAGAAAGACGAGGCTTTCAGCTCCCGTAAAGATGGACGGCGGCGGAAGCCCCTGGGGGCAGTTCTGCTCTGTCCTGTAGGCTTGCTGTGAGTCGGAAAGGGCTCAGGAGCAGTCAGTTTGGTTTGCTGGCCTGGCCCTCAGGCCTAGCAGGGCGCCAGGCTCACGTAGGGGAGATCTGCTCTCCCAAGCACAGGCCCCCTTGGGACGGGATACTCACACAATCCAGTCCACAGCCAGGATCAGAGAGAGGTCCTGCGTGGGCAGCCCGATGGCCTCCAGGATAATGGCGATGGTGAGGACCCCTCCAGCGGGCACACCTGCTGCCCCAACACTGGACGCAGTGGCGGTCACTCTGTGGGATGGCAAAGCAGGGCCATTAGTGCAGTGCCCGGGAGAAACGGCAAGCACGCCAGCCAGGGCTTGGACACCCCCTCAGTCAGACATCCTGTCAGCTGGGCCCCTCAGACACAGCCCACCTGGCTGGCAGGGAGCTCGCACTGTCCCCAGTTCCCGCACGGTGACCCCGAGGATGGTTTTCATGAGGTGGCTGAGAGGACATCACGGGAAGGCCGCAGGTTTTGCCCCACGCCGAAGGGAGAGGGGCAGGAGGCACTCACAGGATGGTGAAGATCTGTCCGGCGTTCAGCTGCACGTTGTTCAGTTGGGCGATGAACACCGTGGCCACGCACTGGAAGATGGCGGCGCCGTCCATGTTCACGGTGGCCCCGATGGGAAGGATGAACCTGCTGATCCGCTTGTCGACACCGTTGTTTTCTTCGATGCACTTCATCATGGAGGGGAGGGTAGCCGAGCTAGAAATGGGAGACGGAAAGTTGGAAAACCAACCAGAAGGCACAGGGCAGTCCCTTCCAGGTGGGCTCGCACATCTCTCTCATCTATAAGGCTCGATGAGGAAGCCTTGGCACCATCCCAGTTTGGGGTAGACTTCCCTCGGGAAAGAGAAAGGGCCCACGTGTTTCAAAGTTTTCTGTCCCAAAACGGGCAGGTTTGTGAACTCCCAAAGTGTTCCAATTAGGACCCGCTGGGTTCCCCTGTTCTGTTATTTACTTGCGCTCACCTGTAGTGGGAGATTCTCAAGAGCCCCACAGCGCGCCCTCCTGCCAAGTGTTCTCCAGACGACCGAGAACCGTGCCTTCTATCTCTGCGTCTGGCTTACTTCCTCTCTGGAATGTTGCTTCCCCGAAAAGGAACGTGCAAACTAGGACTCCCGCCCCGCCCCACCCCACCCCTCCACTTCTCCCCTCGGAGGCCAACCAGCAGAAAAGGCTCTCAGAATTGGCAGAGAGTGACAGGTAAGTAGGGAGGCATGAACTGTCCAGTTAAGAACAGGCTCTCCTCTCTCCAACTGGTTCTGCAAATCCTGCCCAAGCTGGCTGTGCCCCTGAGAACCAGGGCTGGTTCTGTCTAGGGTGGATAAAACATGGCTCCCTAATTTTCTTTTTACAGTTTTATTGGCACATAATCCACATATCATACAATTCAATAGTTCAATCATATCAAGAAGAACTGTATAATCATTACCCTAATCAACTTTAGAACATTTTCTTTCTTCCTTTATTTTTTATCGTGGCAGGGGGACACCCCAAACCCACTCACCTGGAACAGGTAGCAAAGGCTGTGGCAAACGGCGTGAGGAGGCCTAGCAGGAACCGGAAGGGGTTTTTTCGGGTAAACAGGAAGTAAATAAGGGGCAGGACGATCCCGCCGTGGATGAAATGGCCCAGGATCGACGCAAAGATGTATTTGCCCAGGCTGGTCACCAGCACAATGATGTCTTTCATTTCCACAATCTTGCTCCCAACCAGGAACATGATGCCCACGGGCACGTACCTAGGACAGAAGCACAGGGACTTGTCAGTGGGCACGGGGACAGGGAGCCTAGGACACTCAGACTCTCCTGAGACAGAACACAGGGCCTCCCAATGGCTCCCATCGCTCCCTTGGGAAACCCTGAGGAACAGGAAGGAAAGAGCACACCAGCCCATTTGACAGGCCGTGAAACTGAGTTCAATGAAGATGCTCCCTCACCCAGGGCACTGGAAAGCAGCCCTGGTGATGTCAGGGGTTAGACATTGGGTTGCTAACCAAAAGGCCAGCAGTTCAAAACCCCCAGTCACCAGTGGAGACTGATGATCTTGGGAGCCCCTAGGGGCAGCTGTCCAGTCTCACTGAGTGTGTTTTGATGGGGATGGAGTTAGGGCCAGAACTCAGCCTTTTCCCCCCTTTCTCAGCAGATGGATGCTCTCAGCAGTGGGGACTGACTCCCAGGTGGAAAGGCAGGAAGCTCAAGATCAAAGGCTCCAGGCACTGTGGGCCTGACACTCAGCTTTGCTCTTGCCTGTCCTGCGACTTGGAAACACCAAAGACCAACACCTACTCCACCAAATCCCCGTGGGACAAAAGTGAGCCGCAGCAGGGGCTTTTGTGAAGGAGTTTTAAGGCCTTTGTGGTTTGGAACATAGGAATCTGTGGGGAAAAGCCATGAACAATGACAGGCCGGGGACCCTTTAAGATTGCGAGGATTTTTTAAATGGCAGGACTGGAGGGAGGAAGGCAGGGAGAACTCTTACTTACAGGAACTACAAAGAACAGACGCTTGGGATCTAAAACAAACTGAGCAAGGGTTTGATAGCTCTTGGCTTTACTCAGGTGTACATTTCAATGAGATGGGTAGTTAACAGTCCACGAGGAACCCCGTGATGCTGTCTCGGAGAACCATTACACTGCTACCTGCAAGGTCTGGAGTTCAAATCCACCATCCACTCCTTGGAGGAAAGATGAGGCTGTCTGTTCCCATAAAGATTGACAGCATTCAGGGTGCAGTATAGCACCAACGAAACATACAACTTTCCTCTAGTTCTTTTATGCTTCCTCGCAACCCCCCTCCCACTATCATGACCCCAATTCTACCTTACAAATCCAGCTAGACCAGAGCATGTACACTGGTACAGATAAGAGGTCACAACACAGGGAATCCAGGACAGATAACCCCCTCAGGAACAATAATGAGTTAATGATACTAGGAGGATAAGGGAAAGGTGGGGGGAGAAGAGGGGAACCGATCACAATGATCGACATATAACCCCCTCCCAGAGAGACAGACAACAGAAAAGTGGGTGAAGGGAGACAGCGGTTGGTGTAAGACATGAAAAAAATAGTAAATTATAAATTACCAAGGGTTCATGAGGGAAGGAGTGTGGGGGAGGGGGGGAAATGAGCTGATACCAAGGGCTCAAGTAGAAAGAAAATGTTTTGAAAAGGATGATGGCAATATATGTACAAATGTGCTTGATGGATGGATGGATGGATGGATGGATGGATGGATAGTGATAATAGCTGTAAGAGCCCCCAATCAAAAAAAGATTTGATAGCGTTGGAAATCCTTTGTAAGGTCAAGACCAGCTCTCAGTGCATCAACCAATACAGAGCCCTGGGCCGGGCGGGCCGGGAGAACCACACTGGCAGGTGGCGTCTGGTGGAGAAAAGAGAGGAGGGGACGAGGCGGTGCAGCACTCACCACATGATCCAGGAGACCAGCACCATGGTGGCCTCGTTGAAGGCATTGAAGAAACGGATGAGCTCTTCTCCTTCGGAGCCCAGTTTCTTCAGGGCCACTCCTAACATCAGGGCAAAAAGGACCAATCCCAAAATGTTCATCCCTTTGATCTCGGTGGCAATGGGGATCTACACGACCAGAGGGGAGAGAACACCACAGAGGAGTGAGACCCGAGGAGGGAAACTGGCGTGTTTCTACTAGCCTGAAACCCAGCGCCCAGCATGGGACAACGGCTCGTGCTCTCTTTAACCGACAGAGTAGGTGAGGGAATCCACTGGAAAATGGCACACAAAGTCGACAGATGAAAACCTCATCTAGTGCATGCTACACCAGCTGTTCAAAGACGGCAGAGGCACAGAACCGGGAGCCTCCTGTTGGGGGACACAGTAAAAGGCGGTGGGGACCTCAGGTGGTTCCTTCTAAGAGAATGACTAAATCCTCAGTCAGGGCTGTAGCTTTGCTTCCTAAAGGCCAACACACGTTTCTGTCGCCAGGCCCTTCCTGTAGATGCTGAGCTGTCTCGTTTCACCACAGAGGTTCAGGATCAGACGCGCTTTCTCAGCGCACTTCTGGAAATCCCTGATTTAGAAACGGACAGACATAATCCAGTCTGAATTTTTTTCCACCAGCGGTACTAGCTGTCTCACAGTACGCATTGGACAAACTTCTCACCCCACTGTACCCACGCAGCTACGGCTTTCTGGATGGAAACGTATGTTGTTGGCCTGGTGAAAACAGGGAGGATGTTCTCACCCTGGACCCCAGCTTAGTCCAGCCTCTGACAGCAACTAACTTCTCGAGCTTTGTGTTCTCAGTCTGCAGGACGAAGCAAACCGAGTTGAACTAGTAGCTTTCGATGTTTACATTTTGGGAAGTAGAACTCTTCCGTCAGAGAAAGAAAGGCCTTCTATCCCTGAGAGACAAGAGGTGTCGGGTGGCTGGACGGACCTCGTCCTCCCCCCAACAACTCTGTGGGGCAGTCTGGAATCATCCTTGAGGGGCCGCGCCTCTCCTGGCTCTAACAGAGTCTACGTCCTGGCCACAAGTGCCACAGAGACTGAGACTCGTCCAGTGCTGGCAAGTAGCAGATGACAATGGGTGACAGTGAATGGCAGCGGTCACAAGGGGACTCTCCACCAAACAGGAGTCAGGGTTCCACGTTGTCGCCTTTGCTAGAAGTGCCCAGAAGCATGTTTGCCCAATGAAATGACCAGATAGGCTTCCAAAGTCGTTTCTGATTTTGGAGTTAGCCGGACAGAACTAGGTGACCGGTATGATCCACACGAAAGGCACTCTTGTGATGATTCCAGGGGGTCTTTTGTGGGAGGGCAGTCTAGCCTCCTGCTTCCGGCAGTGTTGTTCTTACAATTTCACGTTAACATCATAGACAATAAGACGCCTGACTGTCACTGCTCTCTCTTGACTAATTGAAGCTATAGTTTCAAGAGCTGGGGAATTGTATATATATTTTGATATTTTCACATTTCCCTGTACAGAGCAGGGCTTTGTCTGAGGGCACGGAATCTGTTTAATGAGTGAAGGACTCAAAGCCTACGAGGTAGGCGCCCACAGCAAGGTACCGCAGGGGATCAAAGGGGACCTGGAAGATGTTCTTGGGCCATTGCGTCTCCAACTTTTCACTGTGTCACTCACAAGCCATGCTCAGAGGATGGTCTGTCTTGACAGTCTTGGAGCCCCGGGAATGAGGGAGGGGACAGCATCACTCTTTCCCACAGGTCCTGTGTGCTGCTGGCTGACACCCACAGTGGAGGCAAGCACACGCCCTCGGGAGATGGAGCTCCTGGGTCACCTGCATTTCCATTGGGGGGGTGGGGGGCCAGGGTAGCGAGTAACTGCTGTGTTTGCCCTACAACCTTCTCTAAGAGCCAGAGGGTGGAGAACAGCTCTCCTGTTCAATCAAGGCCAACTTAGCATCCCCTCGGGAGTGCTGGAATGTGCAGTGGTATTTTTGGTTGTCATAATGCTTGCGGGGTCTTACTGGGAAACGGAGGGGGCAGGGTGCCAGGCCACTGAGTGACCTGCAATGCCCAGCAGCCCCCCAACCCCCCCCCCCAGCTCCGGCAGCTGTCACACAGCTGACACCTGTGATACCTGTCACCTGAGCTGAGTGTGAACTCCACTGCATGCATAAACACAGCTTCTTATGTGCATTGTTTTCATCCACAATAGATTTTTTTCAGGGAAGGCTACGTCGATGTAACCTGAACGGACTGTACTATATTTTGGTCTGAACTTTACGAAGTACCGTCTGTCCTTTAGTGCCAATAATATCCAAGTCATCGGTACCACTTATGTCTATCCACCTGTAGCCACTGCATTCAGAGTGGCCATGCATACATATGTCAATATGTCCATAGGAGTCCTCATAGCAGAGTCATTATGAATTGGGCTCCTAACCGCAAGGTCAGCAGTTCAACACACCCGCCGCTCCATGGGAGAAAGATGAGGCTTTTTACTCCCATCAGGACTTAAGTCTCAGAAACCCACAGGACAGATCAAGTCTGCCCTAGCGGGTCACTAAGACTCAGCAGTGAGTTCAGTAATATACCTATATGGTTACGTACATATACGGTATTTGTCCCTTATTTCAAAATGCTCCCCTAAAAAAGTACCAACAAAGTTCAACTGAATTCTCTCTGTTGACTCAAAGCTGTCAAGTTGATTCTGACTCATGGGGACGCTAGAGGGACAGCGTAGGACTGCCCCGCAGGTCTCCAAGGCTGTCTGTCATCTGCATGGACAGACCAGACGGCTTCCTCATTCCCCTAGAGAGCAGCTGGTGGGCTCAAATTGCTGACCTTTTGGTTAACAGCCAACCACTTAACCACTGCACTACCAGAGCCCTTAACATTCTCTTACTGCGTTTAACCCCAAGTTATTCATGGTAACAAACAGCTGAAAACTTTGTTATACTTCTTGACATAGCTGTGCTTTTACATAGCAAAATACAAATTGTTTCCTAAGACTCTTATTTCCCCATTATGTTGTCCTAAAGAAAAATGAGTATCGGTGAACTCACCTATTAGTGAATCACAGGATGGCATAGTGGTTATGCGTTGGGCTGCTAACCGGAAGGTCGGCAGTTTGAACCTACCAGCTGCTCTGAGGGATAAATATGAGGCTTTCTATTCCCGTCAAGAGTGACAGTCTCAGAAACCCACAGGGACAGTTCTCCTCCCTCCTACAGGGCTGCCATGAGCCGGTGAGGTTGGGTCCGTTGTCAGAGTCACTGAAGGGGTGCTAGGGAATGTGTGGGACAGAAAGGCATGTTCGCTCCAATTGGATGTGAGTGCTCCACTTTGGATCCGAGGGCGATGGAAGCTGCGTGCACTGGTGTGGACAAGCGGCCCGCCTAGCAGGCCCAGGTTGTGTTTCAGGCAGCCTGGTCAAGCCCAACGTTCGAAACCCTGCTGAGGTAGAAGGAGCAGCAGCATCACACAGGCTCCTGCCGTGAAGAACCCGATTTGCTTTATCAATGCTTTTCGGAAGTGATCTTTACCTTTTCAATGGTGACATTGCCCAAGCTGGTGTTGTACTTCACCATTTTGTAATCGGTTGCGTACTGTGAGCGAGAAAGAGAAAAACACCTGTTGTCAGTTCACAGGGGCTGTGGGGCCTCTGGTTCCCTGCAGCATCACATCCCTGTCCTGAGCAGCCCTCACCTGCTGCCTGCTAACTGTCACAAAGTTACATGAAGACCAAGTAGCCTCCGGTGATGTTAAAGACCCAGAGAAGCAGGGCGGCTCTCTGAACGCCCCCGGGCAGTGGCGAGGGAGTGTGTACTTTCAGGCCGCAAGCAGCTGCCAGTTTTTCTTATTTAAAGAGCCTACCCCGGGCTCCCAGATGCAAAAGTTCCCTTTGTAATGTCCCCTTTGTTCCAGAACTGACTGGAGTGGCATGCCTTCCAGCATCTGTTTCTAATCTGGCCGGGGCAGCCACTCTCGGAGGGAAGGAAGGCATGGGAGGCCGGGGAGACTGACTCACGTCTCCCGACTTCGCTCCCTCCTGCCCAGGGCACCGGGGCTCCCTGGACGGCAGGCACCCAGTGGAACCGGTTATGACACGCCGCCCCCCACCCCCAATCCCTTGTGGAGGCGCCGGTTCCTGAACTGTCTGTGCTGGAGTCTGTTAAGAGCTGCAGCTCCAAGCCTGCCATCCACAGATGGAGGTTGTAGGAGAAGCAAAACTCACACTACCATCTCCTCCCTCATAGTGTACGTACACACACACACACACACACAGATACTTGCATGTATATAAAAAAAGGCACACTTGTGCTTCTATTCATATGAAAAAAAGAAAACAAAACCCAAAGGAGAAGCTTTAAACAGAAACAGTAAAGTTTTGCTGAAAAACGGCCAACAGTGCAGACAACCTCATCTAGACATTTCTATTGTTTTCCTGTGGCTCCGGGGACATTACTTGCAGCATCGCTGAAAGCAGGGAGGGACGAGAAGCAGCATGAATAAGCCATCCACTGAGAGAGGACAGCGCTGGGCCGTTCTCAGAACTCCCTACAGCCACCAGCCACCGTGCAGAAGGCACGAGTGACATGAGACCACGGTTCCCGAATGCCTGCCTTGTGAAAGGGCGTTGTGGGGAGTGAGCGCATTCTGTTTGTAAAACACGCATGTGTACATGCATAGAATCGCCTATGCTACGGTGCGGACAATGAACCGCTCGAGGGAGTGATGGTTACTAGCTGCTGTAGGTATCCTGGTGGCGTAGTGGTCATGCGGTGGGCTACTAACCTTAAGGGCAGCAGTTCAGAAACCACCAGCAACCCCGAGGGCGAAAGACAGGGCTCTCTACTCCTGTTAAGAGTTACAGTCTCAGAAACCCACAGGGGCAGTTCTACTCTGTCTGAAAGGGCTGCTTTGAGTCAGCAGTGAGGGTGGTGTTGATTTGAACTCCCGGTGAGTAGGAGGGGGCTGCCCTGGGGTCTTCATGGCAGAGGCCTTTCAGAAGCAGAATGCCAAGCCTGTCTTCCGAGAGTCTCTGTGCGGTTTTGAATGCCCAGCCTTTTGGTTCGGAGTAACGGATGATTTTTATTTTCTTCCACTTTTGGGGTATTTCTTATTTTGTATTTTGTAATGAGCACCCATGCTACTTCACATGCTACTTTTATAGCCAGGGTGGGAAGAAAAAAAATAAAAGATTAAAGTGTAGTTTTTAAACTCTGAAATATTTAGGAGCTACCCACAATATGACTTGAGGGGATTCCTGCGATGATGTGAAAAGGTGCTGGAAGAGTGATGAGCTTTTAGAGGTTCTGTTGTCTGCTATGTTTTGCTGTTTCTTACACACTGAGGGCCAGTGTTACCAAGTTTTGTTACAGTGTTGCCCCCACCCCACCCCACAGCAGTCTCTGTAACACCCCGCACCCCAGCTTTCACCTTGCAGCCAAGCATAGGAACCGTACCGTTTGGAAAGCGGCCACCACTAGATTCGAAGGAAACAGGTTTCTGTTGGAAAAGAGATCCTACTGTTAGTATTCTGAAAATGTAACATTCCAAGTATCCACTTTCTGATGCAGATTCTGAGTGGCCTGACTTGGTCTCTCTCTATCACACCCAGGGCCTTGGCTGCTGGGCCATGAGAAACGCTGAGGGCACCAGTTCTCCCCTCCTCTCCCCCATGGCCCTCCTGGATGTTCAGTCTGGGTCCAACGGAACCAGAGTCATGGCACCATTTAACTTACCCCTGACCGAGGAGCTAACGTCAGCAGTTCGAACCCTCAGTGACTCCTGGGAGAAAGACAAGGCTTTCTACTCCTGTAAAGAGTTCACAGTCTGGGAAACACGCAGGGAGCGATCTACCTCGTCCTATGGGGTGGCTCGGAGTCAGAAGGGCATTGATGGCAGTGAGCTGGGTTTTTGTTTGGAAGGGCTCCTGCAGTGGTCAGGGGCACTGCCCACTACAGCTGGGAGGCATTTCTGGGATTGGAGGGAGTGGGTGGGGAGGGGGTAGGGAAGGAAAGGCCAGGGGCCAGCCTTCATCCTCCGATGTGAGGCCAAGTCCTGAACAATCCATTGTCTCAAGGCCTGTGTGGATGAATATGGTGTAGATGAAAACCGAAGCCTAGACTAACTTTAGAGCAAAGTGATTTTTGGGGGGCTGGGGGTGTGGGGTGTGGCAGGGAGACACGGCAGGCATGTGTGTGTGGGGGGTGAGGTGGGAGTGGTGTCACAGTCTGAACAGACACTGAATTTACCAGGAGTGCAACCACCATGTAAATCATGGGAGGATTATTTATGATTTTGTTCAGAATATTTCTAAAAGTTCATCTTTCTGGAAATCATACCACCAGTGGCAATTGTTGGATCTGAGTCCTTAATTCCATGCACTAGTATCGTGTGCCAGCCTCCATTTATAGCCCTGTCACCAGTAGACTCAGGAACCAAGCCCCTGGCTGTCAAGTCGATTCTGCTATAGGGAGAGTAGAACTGCCTCATCTTTCTCCTGCAGAGCAGGCTAGTGGACTTGAACTGCTGACTTTGTAGTTAGCAGCCCAACCTGTCACTATGCCACGGAGGCTCCTTATCCCATCAATGTGATTCCAAATTCAGAAGCAAGCATCCTGTTTTAGAACGTTCTACTGGTTTAGAGCATTCACATACCAAACCAAACTCAACGCCATCGAGTTGATTCGGACAGGATGGAACTGCCGCTGTGGGTTTCTGAGACTATAACTCTACAGGAGGCAGGCCCCTCGTCTTTCTCCCAGAGGGGCTGGTGGTTTCGAACTGCTGACCTTGTGGTTAGCAGCCCACTGAGTAGCCACTAGACTACTAGAGTCCAGTACATTATTTTATGATAAATTATTTTCCTTTTGTCTTTTTTGTTACAAGAACGTCAATGCTGATTGTTTTGAAATTATTTGTCTATAGGCAAAATCTGATTGTGCACTTAACTTCAGGAAGAAAGGTATTAGAGAGTATTTTCTGTACTTTTTCTGAGAGGGAAAGAACGGATTGAATTGAGGTACATTTTGAAGCAACATCTAACCATGCCAACAGCTTCTTTGCAGGGTTTCCTTTGGATCCGGGTCTGGGCTGGGTGTCCAGCACGCAACCATTTGCTACCCACACACTTTCAAGAAAAGTCTGATAACATCTAGAAGGGCCAGAGACTCGTCCCTGATCATCTGTGCCAGACGACCTGCTAATTCTGACTGCTGAGGTTGGGCAGTTCCGCCAGGACTAGAGTCTCTAGTTAACTCTTCGCAGCACATCCGATTTCACAGGGAAACAAGACTCTGAGATGGCCTAGTGACCCCACCCAGGATTCACACCCTTGAGACATTCCCCCCCCTTCAGCGTAGGTAGGACCAGTGGCTGGCTTCTACCCAGTATGGTACAGCAAAGGCTGTCCATTCTGTGAGTTGGTTACTCAAGATGGTGATTCGATTTTGCTCATAGACGCTTCATAGGCTGCTGGGCTTGCCTGCTTTGATGAAACCATCTGCTATGCTGGAGGGGCCCATGGGGCAAGACACTGAGGGTGGCCTCCAGCCAAACAGCCAGCTAGGGACGGAGGGCCCCTAAAGGAACCACAAAGAACCACTCTTAAGGAACCATATTCTGCAACAATCCCAGGGGTGGATTCTTCCCCAGCCCAGCCTTCGGATGAGACCCCCATCCCCGATGGACACACTGACCGCAGCCTTGAACCCAGGACTCTTAAACCACAGGCAGATATGGTGAGACAATGAATGTGTGTGGTTCTAAGCTGCTACGTGTGTGGTGTTTTGTCACGCAGCAACAGATAACTCATGCACCTGCCGACAAGGTTTGGTTAATGAAACATTTGACGGATGAAACAACTGCATTAGAACCCGCAGGGTGAGCCACACCCAGAGCAGCCAGCCTCTAGACAGCGTCAACCGGCATTCCCAAGCTTACTATGAAACAGGAATCACCATCGACACAGGATACCTACCACCAGGTACATGCCTGCATTTGGCTGAATTAGCCACTGTAAAATTGTGAACAGAAATTTGATTCCTACCACAAGTATACTTATTTTAAAAATTAGAAAAAAAATTTAAAGGTAGCAACAGAATAGTCACTTGTATTGGCTGTTCTTTAGCATGTAGGCGAATAGCAGCTATATGTAGCTGTTATTTGCATTTTAACGCAACTTTCTTACGTATTTCAATCTTGTGGGAGAGGCTTGGTCTCTCATTTCCATTCGCTCTGTTGGAGGATGAAGTGACCCCATACCGAGGCTCCTATGTCCACTCTGTGCGCACTCTCAATAGTTCCAAGACTGAGAGGCCTGGGAAGTTAAGGAAAGAGCCAGCTTAGAAGCATCCACCAGCCCCTCGGGGAACAGGTTTTCCCTGTAAAGACCTCATATCCATCAGAGATTAGCAGATTCCACTTCTGATGTGCCTAACACCTTTCCCACAGCGCCTAGAAGCACTCTCTTCCAAAGAGCACACACACTATTTGTTTAAACCCTGCAGCCTGGCCTGCTTGGTCTCTGCAGGACAGGGAAAGCCTAGACTTGTTACCCAGTACAAGCTCCCCCAGAACAGGATTTTTAGTCCAAACAGTCACTGTTCTTGGACCGTCCGCACCACCTAGTGTACAAACCCAGTGGGGAAACAGGGGTGAGGGCACTCCTGGGGCAAAAGACCAGCTTCACCGCCCCCCCCCCCCAAATAAAAATTCCAAGTTCCTAAAAAGGTCTGGATGTGTTCTGGCAGCTTCTCACAAATTACAATCTGGCCCAGCAATTCTGGCTCTTTAGGCGAGACTTGAAAACATATGCCAGCAGCAAGGGCCTGCACATGTCATGGGGTGATAATGCCACGCTCGCACGAGGGGACATCCGCACAATGGAACGAACGCTCCTCCATCAATCTCACCTCGCTGCCGTCCGGGGGTCCTGCCTCACGGCTACAGTAAAACAGAGCTCAGAAAAGATATACCCAAGAACAAGGCTAGTCCCCACAGCCCTGCTGAGCCCAGGGAGCCAGAGACAAAGCAGAAGGTATATGGAATGATTCCAGTGTTGGCGCAGGCTAGAAAGAGCAAAAGTAATCTGCCGGGACAGAGAGAAAATCACCTTCCTGTGGCCAGGGGTGAGAGAGCTGGGAAGGCTGAGAAGTTGTGTGTGTGTGTACACACACACATGCACGCACGCCTGAGAGAGATAGAGCGAGCACGTGCACACTGGGAGGTGGGGGGGGGCAGTGTTCAAAGCAAGTATACACTTGCCACAACTTGGTAAACTTTGCTTTTTGCAAACTGCAAGCAGGGAGCATCTTGCTGTACGTAAATCACAGCTGAAAATAGTCTAGTAAGAGGGGAGGAGGGGGGAAGATAACTGAACTGGGAAGGAGATTTATTTTCCAATGCAAAGATAGATAGATGCTTGTGACCAGACTTCCTGGTTTGAGACAGATAGGCATCCCAAGACAGTGCCCCTTACAAATCTGGAACTGCCTACCTAGCCCCAGAGATCACAGCCATCTGAACACGCGACAGGCCCGTAACAATAACACCCAAGGAGATAGTCACCATCCTCATGAAACAAAAGGTGCACACATGATAGAGAAACAACTTGGCTCTTTGTAAACTTTCATCCAAGCCACTACAAATAAGACAGCAGCACTAATAAAGTAATAACCTACAAAGCAATTTTTTTTTGAGGTTACATCCTTTCAATGATATGACTGAACTTCCTTTCAAATCTATACCTGGGCATTCAGATACCAACCTACAGAAAGGAATTAGCTGGGGCCTGTTAGCAGAAACACAACCCAACTCACTACCCACTGAACTGATTCCAACTCTGTGGCAGGACAGACCTGCCCCAGTGTGTTTCTGAGACTGACTCTTTTCTCGGGTGGAGCAGCTGGTGGTTTCCAAGTGCTGACCTTGCAGTTGACAGTCCCAATGCATAACCCACTGAGCCACCAGGGCTCCTGGCAACTGCTAAACGCTCGCATCCTTCAATTGGCTCCTGTGGTTGCCAGTGCGCTCTGAGCACCAGTGCTGCAAGGCTCTACCTCTACCTCACTCCTGCCCTGTTGGGTCACCAGGAGACAGCCTCGACTTAATGGCAGTGAGTGCCTGTTCTGCTCCAACAACTGCCTCTGGACCCATGTACAGGTTTCACAGGAGCACGAGGAAGTGTTCTAGAAATCCCATTCTTCTCACTGTTCTCCAGTGTGGTGTGCTTGACAGCCAAATGCGGTTGCATCGTCAAGAAAACACAAGTAACTTTCTTTCTGGAATTCTCTGCTTATAGTCAAGATCCATCTACGGATATCTGATACCCTTCATTCCACTTTCTCATCTGAATCTGGCTTGAATTTCTGGCAGCTCCCTGTTGATGGACTGCTGCAAAATCTGACTTGCCTGTGATATTAACTATCCCGTTCTGTAATTTGTAGACTAGGTCGGTTCACCTTTTGGGGGAATGGGTACAAATAGCGTTTTCTTCTAGTCAG